GCCGGCAGTGCGATTAAGGTGGTGACCCTGGAACGTGTCTCCGGACATTCCGCCAGGGGAAGGCCCGTGAGCAGATTGTACAATGGGGATGTTAACTCCTGATTGCGGAACTACCGAGATCCCTTCGAATGTCTACAGTGGGACGGCTAGCGCTTCCGTTGGAGAGCTTTGTAAAACTTCTGTCCACTTCCCTATCATCACCATCTTCACTAATCGGGCCTAAATTGTGAAGGCGTAAAGCTCCTCATACATCGTGGTGCTCATATAATGTCATTCCCTTATTTCTTGGGGGGGGGCCGGAGGAACGACACGTTTAGAAAGCCAGTTATTCAGAGGCAAGATATCGACTGGGCTGGTCGTTTGCGTCACATGAAAGGAAAAGGCGTTTGCTACTCGATAAGCAAGAAACACCAGACCCCCAAGACGATTAATGAATACCCAGCTAATGACTAGCAGCCTCGGGAAATACTGTCTAAACATTCCAGGGTGTTAGTTGCTTCCCGGTTCTCTCTGAATTCAAGTTAACTGCGCCAGCTGGCAATATCAAACCACCAACCATATGCCGCTTCACCAGCGGGATAACGGTGCCGAGTACGGACAGTCTTTCGTTACGGGGGCGCCGGGCCCGCTCCTGGCAGCCGGGAAATTTATATTATCGAAATAGAGGGTAGATCTGAGAGAATGTGGTTGACCCGCCAGTGATACTATATGATTCGTCCCGTTTAGGATTCCATTCAGAGCTCAGACAAGATAAACATGATTTCACCAATATCTCTCAATCATGGCCCGGTTCCCCTTTTTTCAGCCGGCATCACAGCTCCCGTCTTGGTTCCGACCCCATTTGTCTCTCGAAGAGAGTCTAAGGTGATACTGCCCGTGCCTCTGGTACATCGGCCACTTCCTTTAGGGCGGCCTCCTGTCCTTTTATATTTTCGTCGGCACCAACTTGCCATATCACGACAAGCCGTACATGGCCTGGTTGTGTCGTGCGTTGGGCCACGTGTTCGATGCTACCGTCTAGGGGGGCCTGGGTAGTAACTCTTCGGAAACATGGGGGAATTTGTTAGCGAGGTTACTGGGCTGCATAGAGCAGTATTCGGGAAACGGCTGGCTGGCGAGAGACCGGGATACTCTTTCATGGAAACCCTTGGCTAGAATACCATGAGCCTGTATCTTCTCTACTCTCCACGCTATGCTCAACAATGTGTGACTGATAAGTGTAAACCAGTAACTATCTGGACCTCGAAATAGCGTAAGTTCCAAGCTACAACCCCTCCCAGCGCTGCAGTCCTCGACAGGTGCCATTAGATAACAGGACTCACACACAGAGACCAAAATGCCTCTCCCCGTTGATGTACTCCAACACTTTGTAACGTTGCAGGTACAGACAAATCCTGTACACCCCACCGCAACCCCTATCTTCGGCATAGTTCGGGTACTCGTAGCATTTTCCACATCTGTTCTGTTACCAACAGTCCAACACTGTGACGCGCCCCTGGATTGTGCATCTGCACCCCTTAGACTACCACGTTCAATGGCACTACCCCTCGACGACCGCGATGAGCACTTTCTGTTACCGTTTCATTATTGGAGCCGCCGAGACTTGCTACGCCCGGATGTAAGGTCCTCGATCAAGACCTTCCGAAATAAATGTGGCGGCTCGGCCCCTCATTTTAGGGGATGTAACCCAACAGCCCACATTCAAAAAGGAACTTTTGATTAAACTCGTGGGCACACACACACATTCATCTGCTGAAACGCGGATGCTAAGGGTTTTGCACGTGTTGACTACATGAAGATGCTTCTGTGTAGTCCATATTCTTTGAAGCTTCCAGAAGTTACATTGTCCTGTTCACCGGACTCCTCTTCCCCAGAGCCTCTGTCGATCGGATCGTCATCTGCCCAGGCCATTCCCATGTGCCAACCATGGCTCCGAGCCGATGACAGATTCTCTTCGTCGGGCCGGCCGCTTAACGACCCCTAATCCCGGCGGCATATCCCTGGCTCCCCCAGACCTGGCCCTATCTGGCACCAGTCCCCGTGAGAGGTACCCCTCAATTTGGAGCTCTCCCACCAACAGCGAATCAGATCCCCCCGTCCAGGGATTCGACCTTCCGCATCCGTCCAAATCTTGGGGAACTCCCGCTCGTGGCGGGTGCCTGGTGATCCTGTTGCATGCCAGTGCCGGGCACGCGGGGCCCAAATCGAAGCTTGACCACAGATGCCAGACCTCATTGGCCCCCAACTTGGCGGCTATCACAAGCGGCCGATATGAGCATCTTGGTAGGTCCGATAACGACCGAGATGGTGGTCGCTAATGTTGCATCTTCCTGGGGATGACCTGGTTAAACCCGCGCGTTTCCGCCCTCGGAGTCCTAGTGCTCTATCACGGGGAAATGCTGGGACCTGTGAGCTTCCGGGGCCAACGTCCCCGAGGTAAAAAACGTGAGCGGAAAGAAGACACGCGGGCAAAGGTCTCAGCTTCCATGCTGGAAATCAAGGCCCACTCCCATGTTTCCGGCGGCAACGTTACTGGTGTTGGATGTCAGGGGACATTGTACGTTGGGGAGAGAAGGATGGCTTTCTGCAGGAGCCTAAGGCCATCCCACCTTGGATGGGAAAATCAAATCAGAGTTTCGGGGACCGAATGGGGTAGTCACCAGTGGGCAGCAACCTGCCGTGGTAAGAGTGTCTGACGTGGATATAAGATGTCTGATATCCTGTATCATCTATAGTAGATCCCAGAGATCAGATCACCGGCTTCTCGAACATCCTCAACTTGAACCACTATCTGAGTTCTAACCATGGTATCCTTGTCACTGAAGAGAGCAGCACTGGCTGCCGTGTCCCTATGGACACTCCTCACTCAAGCATCCCCGCTGCCGTCCATTGAGACAGACATCCAAGCTCGGCAGTCCTCCGGTTACAAGAACATTGTGTACTTCACCAACTGGTATGACCACAATCACAATGCCACTCACACTTATACTTGAACATCTACTGACCTGGCTACCCAGGGGCATCTACGGGCGTAACTACCAACCCGACCAG